GAGGAAACGAAATTCCGAGGCGTCATCATTCCTCGCGTTTTTCTCTGTTCCCATTTTTCAACGGCCCGACCTCCTGCGTCTCATTGCGTTTGATTCTCATTGCTTGGCTTATCTTATCTGCTCTGACGGACTCTTTCGCTAACGCTCGTTTTAATTCGTTACTCGCTTGTACAGACACAGCTAAAAGCTCTGACTAACCTCGTCGGGAATGAAACGTTGTTGCTTGCACTGTATCGTTCGCTTGAAAATCGTCAGTTGTCAACCCTTTGCCTGTCTCAGCGAAATTTCATACTTCGAACGAAATGAAATTGTACTGGGATTAACACGTTCACTGTCCAGACACCTAGGCTTCGAAGGAAATGACATTTTTCTCGGAGCATTGGTGAATGCCCTCTCAAGAACGTCCCAATGCCATTCCCCTGGATTCTATATGATTTTTTAGTTGTCATTTTCAACCGTGTGAGTATTGAATTGTTCATTTAAAAACATTCGTGTGTGGGTTGTTATTAAAATCGAACCAATCCGATAAAGTCTAATCGAAAAATTACTTTTGTTCGACTTCCGTCGTTGTAAATCAGTTTCTATAAATGCATAAACGTGCGCAGTCTATTTAGAAAACTGTGAAGGTGTTAATGCATCGATCCTGCGATAATTCAGCTTGTACGTCGTTTAACGTCAAATCACGAAGGGTTGAACTGAACGGCGTCGGAACAACAGAACTCGAACCCGGCAGTAATCTCGATAGCGACTCAATTATGACGCGGTGCATTGGCGTTGATGACCATATATATATGGTACTATACAGTCAATGAGATAAAAGAAATTTTTCAAAGAGTATTCAATGGCGTTACGTGTAGATTGTGCTCGAGCGAATCGTGTCCTTAAAAGAGAGACTATCGTGTTTCAATTCCCGTGCCTCGTGCTCCTTGAGCAACACTCTTCAATGGCGCATTCATATCTGTATATTATTCTCGATAAAAATACTCAATAAACTTTGAATTTCAGCAATAATTATACACAACGATATGTTAGCGACCGTAATAATGTCGTACGAAGTGACACTGTATAAGTACCTCGTAACACATAAATATATAGAATTCTGTTCAATAACTTCAGTTAAATCGCATTAAGTCAAGCGTTTATACAGATCAAGCATATGTCACCGATTGACGCTTCCGCCGCTGCTACAATTCCATTCTCTCTGTTCCGCAGCAGAATACTTGATCGCCTCGCCATTTAAAAACGACAGTTTCGCCGTTGATCATTAATTCGGTGAATCGTTAAAAATGAATGACGAAGAACAATATTTAGTAAGAAGGCAAAATGCAACAGTTGCATCAGCAGTACATCGACACTAGGACTGGCAGTCAAACTGATTATTTCGCATTTCCTTATACACACAAATTTGATCAATTATACGAACTCTAAGATCGCATTTCTTCATATTCAAGTTCACTTTTGTTTCAATTCGCGTGTTATTAGATCGATTGACCTAATCATTTCGAAGAGACGTATCTGTATCTTTTCGAGGAATCACAAAGAAAGAAATTCAAAGAGCATCACTCTCTGTTTCATCAGATAGGTTCAGTGTCAATGTACATTCTAGTGACAGAGTAATTATGATAATAACCGACGCAGCAGCGAAAGCGTCGAGAAGAAGCACAGAGCACCGCGCTTCCGGCCGTCGCTCTCTCGGAAACGATTCTCCCGAGCGAAACGTCGGAATGTGATCAAGTCGCTACTGGATAAAGCTTCCGCTTCCTCTAATTGTACAAAAAACTCGTTCACAAGCTCGTTCGGCCTGCAATGCGACGCGACGTGGCAGTATTATTAGTAAGTAAGATAGTGTAGTACGATATGATACAGAAGAGCAAGTGTAACCGGAAGTCACCTCTGTACTCGCGAATCGTGCGTCGAGGGGTTGTGGGGTTGGGTGTGGGCCCTTGAATCGAACGCGAACGTGCGGCTGAATCGTTCGCAGCGTGACGGGATAAAGAAAACAGCTCGCCGTTCCCGGATCGAAATGCGCGTCGCAAAACGATTCAACGAGTCGATCGGTCGGCCCGGTCTCGATCTTTGCCGTGACCTCGGCGATGCGATTACTCGCTCGGACAGAATAAAACGACACGCTCGCACGCATCATTCACTCGCTCGACACGCATTCACACATACAGAACCGTAGCGCATCCATTGTTAATGAAATCGAAGTACCATAATTAGGCGAGACGCGTTTCCTTTGTTAACGGCGAATTTACGGCCTGAACATCGACGGCACGTTTCAACTAAACGCGGGACACTCGCCTGTCTTTCAAGCAGAACCATCGGCATTCGAATGATAATATCCATGTCCAACAAAACGTGGTCTTTATCTAATTCCGTCGAGCAGAATACCACTATCAATCGGTAAAATTAATGACGGTAATCTTCGTTCTTTTTTCTTTCTGAAACGGAATTCACGATCGCGCGAAAAACAAGAAATCAGAAAAAGAAACGCCATATCCCTCTCGTCATCGCCCTTGTACTCGAAGAAGCCTCCCCGAAATCTCTGTCTTCGCGTTCGTCCCTCGCTTAAGTTTCTACTAAATTACTTGGTACGGTTGATTCAAATTCATTTTTGGTACGATCGACGGCGTCCCGTGGGAACACCCGCGAGACGAGTCCACGCCATGCGCGCGGTCCGCGCTTCAATAATGTCTTTTCCCTTTGCTTCGTCTTTCAACGGACTCACGCGGACGTTCACCAGACAAGAGACAACCTACACGCGTCGACGCGACGAACAAGGGAGTACAATGTCTCCGATCGCGACAGCGACGCTGCGTCGATTGTGTTAATTCGTCACTCTGAGAGCCGCTCGATCGTGCGACTCGCTGCGCCTAGACCGTTCAAAACGTCGGCCGCGTTGACTCTTTGTCCGATCAAGGCAGCCGTTTCGGAGATCTCTGCCCAAGAGCCCTCGACCCGTCTGTCTGTCGCAATCGTTCAGGATCGTCCCCGACCGATGTGACTCGATTTTCTTTCTTTTTCTTTTTCTTCTTCTTTTTTTCGTTATTTTGCATTTTATATTTGAAAGGGAAGGAGGTCGTGGGGTTCGAAACCCTCTCGAACACAGTTTCGCGGTGCTTCGGGACTAGTCGGAGTCACTCGTGGCCGACCCTGAAGAGCCGACCCCGGGTCGAGAGCTTGAATTCGATTCCCCATTCGCGCCCGCGGTCCCCCCAATGGACGAGCACGATCGGAGACGGTCCCGAAATAAATTCCTAGGTGCACCTATGACAGACTCGCGCGGCGATGCGCCCTTAAAGCAGCCACTTGGCCACCAGGACCATGATCAGGTGCGGCGCCAGGCTGATCACAGACGCGTCAGACCCCTTCACTCTCACGTCGCTGTCCTTCAGGAACACCTTGTCGATCACGTGGATGATTCCGTTGGTGCACTCCACGTCCGGGCGGAACACTCGGATCCACTCGCCGTCCCACTCGATCTGGTAATCTGGAAAGAGATACGTGCGCGATTTAGCGGGCTCCATTGGGATTCAAGTGAAATACGATCCTTTCGGCGACCGATGAATGAGAGGGATGCGAGCCGTGTATTTGCCAGCACCGGACCGTTGGTAATGGGGAACAAGAGTATTCGCACGATGGAGAATGTGGAAATTAAATAACAATGTTGCGACTGATGAAATGAAAAGCTAGCTTCCCCTGTCGGTTCCCTCCCGTTTTATAATCGTTCGCGTTGTACGAATGCTTTTGTCCCTGTACAGCTTTCTTTTAGAGAATTGTAAATAGAATGTGATTGGTGTAACGAGAGACTACGTATGTTCGTCTCTTTTAATTGAACGTGAGATACGACAAAGCGCAAGAGAAAGAAGACACGCGTGTGAAATTAATAGATCAACGTGCGAATAAGATTGCCCTAATAAACTTTCTTCACTGCGGTTTCATTCATTTTCGAATGAACTGTCCCGAATGTTCTCGTTATTATTTTCGTTTCAAGTGTGATATTATTTTAATAAAGATTGCCGGCCGAAATTGACGCGAGAAATCTCGTGAGCGGTGTTTTAAGCGTTAACTCGTTTCAGCTCCTGATACCTCGTTTTAATGGCTTAATTACCGGATCTCGGTCTTCCGTCCACCCTTTTGTCACGCCGCGAAACATCTGTTATCATCGTTTCCGCTACGCGCAATTGTTCCAATTTCGTTAGCGCTTCCCGTCGAGTTTTCCCGGTACGGACACCGGTCCGCGCTTCCAGTCCCGGGGTTTCTTTGCTGCTCGTGTTTCCGTAAGATCGAGGCGCGGCGTTTGTAAACGGAAAACGCTTTGGCGATTCGCAATTTGCGGCGGAGCGAATGACTGCATGAGCACGTAGCAATTACCAGGCGAGGGGTAATCAACGAATTTGCATTTAAATGGTGGCCGAAAGGCGCATAATAAATTGTCTTGCGGCACCGACCCATAATTGTGCGCGTTCTTCGCTTGGTCCACTTTGCTAGACCCGGATGCCCGCGAAATTACTTCACGCCAAAGCCTCGCGGCGTTCTGACGAAATTTCTTTCGAAATAATTCGAATATTTAACTTGATAAATATCAAACCGATGTTATTTGATTTCTTCATGCTGAGACAAAAATGTGTGCGTCATTCGTTTAAGCTTGGAATTCTAATTCGGAGGGCAATGCTTTGAACTATTTATGTCGCGGTGATTAGAGTAAGATTTCCCGCGTGGACAGTGTAGAAAGCTTCGTTATGGAGGAACACTCCGTTCGAGTAGTGCGATCAAAGAATTTTTCATCGACAAGCTGAAAGAAAGATTCGACTTCCGTGAACTCAGGCCTTAATTCTATGAAGTTCGAAGAAAAAAAGTGACGATGTTATTGTGCAGTTACGTCTGTAATGAACAGCGTAAAGTTACGGATTATTTACAAATTATACAGCAAGACAATTATTGTAGCACATACACTCAAAAATTTGTATTTACAACTTAAAGGTGTAGACATATGTAGGTACGCACACGGAATACTTTTGTTTACCATGGAATGATGATTTCGAAAAAATCAACGAGACGGCGACGATGAGCACGACTACGCGTTATAGTTGTTTCTCGCTTTTGCAAAAAAAAAGAAACAGCTAATCTTGCGCTCGTTCTATGTATCAAGCGGAATTGATTTCTTTTTTTTTTAAAGCAGCATCAAGCGTTATGAACAGAAAAAAAGTATGTATCGTTCTTTCTTTTACAAAATCGTAAAGATACTCACCGTTTAAAGTATTCAATTATTAAATCTATGATACACGTTGAAATCTGCAAAACTCAGTACGTTCGTTGCCGCTAGTAATCTGGACGTGACAAGTCTGCTCGATTTTTATAGAACATCGTAAGGAGGGTACGCCACGACGAAAAATTGAAACAATCGAGTTACTCGGTGTATTACGAATTATTCGACACATTATACATTAAATTGAATATCAAATCGTCTAGAATACATATGCCATTTGTATCAATAAGAGAAGATACGTCAGACGAAGTTCCACGAAGACAATTACAAGCTTTCACATTGGATATTTATTAACGCAGGTATTTCGTATAATAAAATCAAGCAATGATAAAGTAATGAACAATATAGATTACTTGTATTATTGTATTATCGTGAAAATTTGAAACTGAATGATAAAAAGTGATTGAAATTACGTAACTTGTTTGATTCGTCCTTCTTTCGTCGCAGCGTACACGAAACTGCAATTCATGTAGAATACCTTTGGACGGAAAATCCTTAGCCTTTGCGTTCAGTACTTTAATTGTCGACTCGTCTCGCCAAGACCGATAGAGGCAAAGACGAGAAGCGATCGAGAAATCAAGACGCTAGTCGTAGCTATTTATCCCGATGAATGGTTTTGTCTCGATCGAATGCGGATCGATGGTAGAGTATTGTTGCTTACGTGCGGGCGTACGACCAACAAGCGACAACGTGAACAATCGTGAAGCGAAGCGCGATCTACACTCTCGGAGAACAGAGAGATAGATGGAGGAAAAAACAAAGATAAATAAAAGCATTATTTTCAAGCGGCGAGGCTGCATGAAACACGCGTACTTGAATCGATTTAAACGCAGCTGCAACAAGGAAACCTTCAACGACGCGAACGAGGACACGTGATCAAACGATTCTTCACACAATGGCCGAATAGCAATCGAGTATCTTTTTATCAAAAGACAATGGAATGTTTGGTGAAGTTCGCTTTCAATCATTGTCACCGTGTGCCATTAAAGAATTTGTTCTGTAATTCGACAAATTTCAATAGTTCGACGTACGTACGTCAAGTTTTTTTTTATTTTTTCTTTCATTTCGCACTATCTACCCTTAAAGTTTCGAACCTTCCCCGTTCGGTTCTGTTCAATCGTATTTCAGCGTGTTTTCCGATTGTCCGACGATTCACGCAGTCGTGTGTTATTGCGCGTTACACGGTGCGTGAGAGTGCAAGAAACGTTTCGTAAGAGATTGACATAAGGTGCGTGCTCGTACAGGTGAAAGCACGTGTCGTCGCTCATCGGCGACGTCTAAACACTGAACTCACTCACCGAAAGTTTCTGGGCGGATCGCGTTTTCATCGTGCTTGTCATCTAAATGTAACCAAATAGCACCAGGTTTGAAAATGAACAGAGAGACAGAGTGAAAGAAAGAGAGATAAAGAGACAGATACAGAGACAGTGAAACAGAAAGACAGATCGAGAGAAAGAAACATAGAAAGACAGATAGAAAGAGTGCTCGTATGGAGCTTCAAGTGACACAGTTTCGTTTCTTATACAACAACAATTACTTTCGGACAAATTACGTTCAAACTGAAAGAATTGAAACAAACGTTGAGTGTATCTGACAATATTCGGATATTTTGCAAGGGGGTGCCCTGTTGCAGACAAGTGGCTAATGTCCTACTTACTTTCGTTATTCTCCCGGACACGAAGTTTCAGGGTGTCTCTGACGGATGGGAGGATGATGGTCTCGTTGTGCTTCATCTCCTTCAACTTGGCCATGGTATACGGTTCGTTCCCTACCACGAGATGCCGTTCCAGAATTTGTTTTGTCTGAAATTCGATTTCATTTTCTATATAAGAAAGTTACAACAGACATTTGAATTTGCAGAAAAAATATAATAAAGATAGTAAAATTATTACATCTGAATTAATTATATTCTATAGTGTGACTGATAATTAAAAAATAAAACTGTTATATTTAAAATGATTCGCCAAGAAGATGCTTTCTGAATGCGAATTATGGTAAAACAGCCATCTTGAATATAAGCTAAAGTTCTGTACTGCATAGAATCTTCCAAAGATGATCGTTTGCCAATTAATTCATTGATTTAATCTAAATCCCAAACGTTTCATCAGTAAACACTTATTTTCTAAATAAGAAAGTTTGTTGTTTCACAATTTTCAGATTTCTATCTGTTCAATGAAATACACGTTTGATATCAATTTTGTAAGTAAGAACCTTGTCAATTGTTTCAAGTGAGCCAATGTTTCATTTTCATTTCGTTAATGATACTCACGTGATAACTGAATTCAGGCATAAAGAGCTTCTTCAGGGTGGAGGGGTATGTGACTTCGGCTACGTTCCAGGCATAGTCGCGTGGTGCGAAGTAAGTGAACCACTTCTTTGTTTCATTCAATTGGTTGTTGAAATCGCGTCGTTGACCCAGATAGTAAGTGGTACTGTAAACAGATCGAACAATCAGTATTTTATCAGTAATAAAATGAAATTGTTCACTTAAAACCGTTTCAAAACCATTCAGCTTCTATTTGAAACTTCTTCAATAAATTAAAAGTTTCAAACCTATTCGTGTGCGTTCTTTATACCATTATAAACTATAAATCCGTCTAATTATTATAATATCTCCATTCTAGAATTCATTTTTAATCCTTGCCGCTTTCAAGAATTAAGGTACAACCAAATCCGCATGAATTAATTGCGTAATATTCGAAAATAAGTGTGAACGCATGTTCCACCGGGCACTGAAGTCTCCAGATATTTTTCTTACCGCCGGTAACACAGTGACATATATCAGATTCGGTAAGAATCAATTGTGTTTATAAGTACTACAATCTCCTGCGAGTTGAATCGACCAAGACGGTTTCGCGTATCGTCGTCGGATGGCGTTGCTAGTCATTTTTCGAATTCTGGTGAACTCGCATTTAATCCTACATTAATAAAAAAAAAGCAATCGTTAACACTATTATACATTAAATTTGTATAAACAATTCAACCATATTATTTTTATAAATCCACATGAGATACACAATATACACGAACACACTATCTAATGAAAGAATACCGACATTTTCTGTTTCGCATGAAAAATGTGTTTCAAGCGTTGCCGCAAAGGCTACAAAAATCGGTAAGCATTATTGTGCAGCTCGATAACTAAGAGATTCAGAGCCATGCACGTACGATGACATATCCCAGTATGAAAGAGCCCCTTGTATGAAAGAAACTTCAGAGGAACGCAAGAGTTCTATTATAGGTAACGATCCACTGAAGGATCCAGCCGCTTTCTGATCGCGCATCTAAAGGGCGATTATGAAACGTGCTGTGGGGAAGCCTCGAACTCGCAGGTTCCCCTCTTGCGTCGCTATGTCTTTCATTTCTCCGCACGCACGAAGATCAGGGGATACCCTGCAAAAAGGTATCGATCGCGGAAACAAACAAATCGATGATAGCGGATCCCGGTATATTCGTAAACGCACATTGTGTAACGTATAGGCATCGGCTGTACGGCAGAGAGATAGTGCAATGGATGGGCTCTGATCCGGATGTCATGGTATGGGGTGATGGAATGCTGACATCACCATCCATCCAGTGCATCGAGTAACGATAGCTATCGTATAAAGGGGCTAATAGCATTAAAGCAGACACATAACCGTTTCCTAGCTGCTCGGTCGGTTGTTCGGTGAACACCGATCCGCGACAAGATGGCCGGTACGCCGGCCACCTCTTGTATTTTGCGACATCGCATCGTTCATGATACTGTGTAGTTCAGTAATAAATTATTCGTTTTCTCTTGCGTTGAAATGTTTCATTGGTTAATTTATAATATTGAGTTGGATTTGTAAGAAGGATTCTGCACAGATGAATGCATTTCGAGTTGAAATAGAATATTATTTTTCTAGTATGGATATTCAACTTTTAGAATAACTGAAGGTTTAGTATGAATATAGAATTCTTATTCGTTTGAAAGAATGATTAATAATAAAGTGTGAATGAAATTATATCGCAAAGAGTTAAGGTTCTTTATTGGATCGGCGAAAAAATACTTAAAATACAGAAAGAGTATGAATAATGGAAACCTGTTACGCGTCAACCATTCTGTATGTTTTTTCTGGCTGCGGAAGGGATTTTGCGCCTGCTGCGAGCTTTGTTTCAGCCCGATAATATTTCTACTGAATTTTTGATCGGACGAAAACTGTTTGGATAAGCTGAGCGCGTTAAAACAGGCATCGCATGAACGTTTAGTTACGGAAGCGTTATTTAACGGGGTTTTATCGTCGCAGAAGTTTATTTGCAGGTTATTGGGACATCGTTTAATTGGATTTTCCATTATCGATGCGCCTGTAATTGAAATAACGCGAGGGGAATTAAATCACGATAGATTCACACTGTGCGATACTCGATGCGCCGACTTCAACGTGCGTTGTTATGATTTTGCGAAAACAATCTAGCGAAACGAAAGTAATATACATAAATACATCAGGCGCGGATGATGCATGAAATCATTTACATTTTCGTATTTTCTCAATCGACCGTTATGCGTCTATAATTTAAATAAGAATGATTCAAACCAAAATAATTTAAATAATTTCTTCGCGTGATTTTTAAATTCAAATGTTGGAGCAGCCTTAATCAATTTAACTTTTAATCACTTGAAAATCTACGATAATCGAAATATTACGATAGAATTCAATATGTTTTTAAACAGGTATTATGTATACCAATTTAAATACTTTCATTGCAAAGACAGTAGGAAACATCATCGGTAAAAGGGCAAATTGTTCAAGAGAATATTTTAGTTTCGAGCCTTGTCAAAAAATACTGCTGGATTTTCTCCAATTGTTGAGCGGTCTATTTTCGTTTTGTAAGTCCCTTCAATTGCGGCTGGTTAAGTTGAATTAAAGGACAATATCAATAAGGAATCGAGGGGAATGGTATTCGGTACGAATTTAATAGATCGACGTGTAGCCCTCGGTACCGTCTAATTCACGGAGTAAGATTCCCTGTTTATAGTTCTTCCGCGGAGCGGAGCACGTTCACGGTAATTGGAATGGAGATTTGTTGCGTTATTTTAATTAAATTCGGGACGAAGAAAGGAGTTTGGCCGTGCACCCGAAACAAATTTCTTTCTCATAGAGGCACCGCAATGGACTAAACGAGACCTTAAAACAGTCAATGAATGTTAACGGCATACACGCGTACTGTTTCCTTAAAATTTAATGCTCCTGACGAAATACGGGTACACGGGAAACGCAGTTACTTAAGTACTTATGTCCTAAAGATACTTAAAACATTTTACTTGCATTTACTCTTATTACTTCGATAATTATGTTTGTAACACTGAAATACTTCGAATAAAATGACGCGTTATATATATTTCGAAGAAGAAATCAATATGAATGATTCGTTAAAAGAAATCAGATATTTTGCACAATTCTTATTCTAACAGTATACTTGTCTAGTATTAAAGTTCTTTAGAAGAAAGAATTAAATAACTAAAAGGCAAATAAAAATGATTTTCTCTGATTCTATTAATTACTTGTATGAAACGAAGAGTTCTTACTTGAGCATGGGGTCAGTCCTAAGTTTATTTAGCACGTCTGTGTAAGGAACACCGAGAACCCTGTCGATAATGTGAATGAATCCGTTAGTGGCAGCAATATTTGCGGTGACTACCGTTGCGTTGACGCCACCACCCTCGACGGTTACAGTTTGGTTGCCGCTCGGTCCCTGGACTACGTTGAAGTACAGCTTCTTCCTATCGGCTGCTGTTTGTACCTATAAGAAATCAATGGGAACCTAAAGTCAGTTCGAGAAAGGTCGCTTGACACATTTTTACAGACGTGTCACTTCTGCACACCGAAATAGCGACAGAATATATATATATATATATATATATATATATATATATATATATATATATGTATATATATAGAGAGAGAGAGAGAGAGAGAGAGAGAGAGAGAGAGAAGACAAGTGATTCGGTTCTTCGAATAATTCGCCATCTAAGTGCCATCGAACTATCTCACTTGAATTCTACAAAATTTAGACGACGAACATTTGATAGAAACGAAACAGATATTCTTCCACAAGATGTTCAAACAGAAGGTAGCAATTCTACGAATGAACCTTCAGATATAAACATCTTATCCTTCGTTCCAACGAAAGCGTGCGCATATAAACATTACCTTAACCATTGAATTTATTACTTTTTCAGTTCTCGCTTTGATCGTTGCGAAAATGAATCTAGTTATAGAAAGGAAACTTACGAAACGCGCGTATCGTCCGTTGCGTTTATTGCAATGAAAATTCGCGCGCAAAGTGAAGCAATGAAAAATATTCATCGCGTATTTTTCATAGCTGGTAAAAATTTCCTAGGTATTTTGTATTCAGAGTTGATCCGCGTTAACAACCTGTCCTTACCTGTACCGATAGCGTTAACAGTTTTGTTTCCGCATCGGTCGAACGTCGATCAAAACTGTGGTTGACAGCCGAAAGGTGCATAACAGCGAAATTTTATATTTTAATTTCGTCATGGAGTATTGAAAAAAACAAGTGGAAACCGTCAGCAACCACGTTCCGTGAATAAGTGAATATTCGATCGGATCGGGAGCGAAGCGTGATTGAACCGTGAATGACCTCGCGTGGCTCAAGCCATGGTGAAAAGCACTCGAAAATTGTAAAAGCAGTAAATGTGTATCGACTATCTCAGAAACGAACAAAGGGAGAGGCGTCGAATAAAAAAGTATCCCAGCCCTTTGTAAAGAAAGAACCGTTAAAAGAAGATTATCTATTAATAACTTGTAAAAAACCGTGCAGACGGTAAGTGTAACATTAATCAAGCTAATAAACACAAGTTTCCTCGGATTTTTCAAATAATTCGCGAATGAAAAGAAGCAACTGCCAATTCCGAGCTATCGTTACATGTTTTACCGACCCGGAGTTTTATGTTAGGCAATTTTTCCATTCGCCCCCGTAAACACGAGAACAGGTAGCAATAAAAACGGATACGCCTTAAATATTTTTCGTTTATCTGTGCGCGAAGTTTCATTACAATCGGCGCGTACGAATTGAACGATGCCCCCTTATTAGCAGACAATCTCCGGTTGAAGAGATATCACTGCCGTTTTATCCTCCGCTTTCTTTTTATTCGAAGAACTGTTGAAAGTCAGCTTCGTGCAAACAAGAAACTCGTACATATCTACCTAACTGCGAAATACGACGACAGGAAGGCGAGATAGGAGAGTTAAAAGTTGTGTGCGGTCCCTGGCTCGAAAGTTTCTGGTAAAGTTGAAAGAACAGAGAGAAAGAGAGAGAGAAAGAGAGATAGAGAAGGGAACGTCGTTAAACAGTTAGCAATAAGTTCTGTTCGTTATGTGTACATCTATGCGTACTTAAGTAAGCGCAGCAAGAAAGGATGTTATAATAAATTTCAGAGGAGGTTCGCGTTTTGCTTTTCTCCCTCTCCGTGCGCCGCCGCTCGTGAATATTTTACAGGAACGAAACTTTGTTTATTAATTAAAACGCACTACGAGCAATTTGACCGAATACGAATTCTACGAATCTGGTCAATTGAAACATACTAAAGTTTTAATAGACATTTGAATTTGCAGAAAGAATATAATAAAGATAGTAACATTATTACATCTGAATTAATTATATTCTATAGTGTGACTGATAATTAAAAAATAAAACTGTTATATTTAAAATGATTTGCCAAGAAGATGCTTTCTAAATGTGAATTATGGTAAAGCCGCTATCTTGAATATAAGCTAACTTCAGTACTGCATAGAATTCAAAGATGATCGATTGCCAATTAATTCTTTGATTCAATATAAATCCCAAGAGTTTCATCTGCAAACACTATTTCCAAAGTGTTCTCCGATTCCACATAAGCTCCACGTAACCTCACTTCTTGCTTCCTAATGTATATTCTATGACCGCGGTAAAAACAAGTAGCAATCGGTAAATATCGTGAAAAGCGTTCACATGGCGATAGGAACATCTGTGGATTCCCGTTCCCTTCTCGCAAATACGGTTCGAAGTCGGAAATTTGTTTTCGCATTGTAACCGAATGCTTTTTGAATAAAGTTTAATGGGAGCGGAAGCGACAAAGAAAAAGGAGAAAAAGCGGGAAGAGAGAAAGAGAGGGAGCTTAAAGGTAGTGATTCCTTTCCGGTTGATCCCCCTCTCATGAATTTCCCGACTTGCACTCCGCACCACTTCCGGCTACTTTTCTGATCTTGAGTTGCTGCTGCATTCGCAGATAGATGCATCCTCCCCGGGACTGCCGGCTTCAAAGAGCAGATCGAATAAATTCCATGAAAATCCACGCCCCTTACAAAGAATTTTCCTATAAGCCTCTTTCTCGCGAAAATCACTACCTTTGCTTTTCATTCTGCCGAACGTCTTGCGCTTTTTGCCCTCCTCATTTTACGATTCATTGGATCTGCAGCCCCGTCGTTTTTTTTTATTCATGCATCTTTATTCGCATTACCTCCTTTTGCTTTTTATAAAGATACGTTTTTGAGCTCGACGATTGGGATCGTTACTAGGGATTAAGACGAGACCGAGGATAATGACATCAGAAAGTTTTTGTTCATCCTCTCGTTGCAGCTTCTTTTCAAGACAGATTCTCCGGCGCCGTCTTGTAAAATGGAATATTTATCCACCGTTCGAAGTTCGTTTATCGTTCGTTTCAAGCAGGTAATCATTTACCGAACATCTATTCGCAATATATTTCAATATCGGAATTATAACTATAACAATACACGAACACCGTTAATCTCTATGAAGTCAATCATTGGTAGTACTACATTAACACTAGATTTACTGACACTCACTATACAGTGTATTCTACTGTTCTTAGAAAAATTGTTATCCGTTCATTTAGATCTTAGAAACTAGAGGTTTAAGAGTAGACAATTAGCATACATATTTGCATAACTGCGTTAATAAAAATCGATACAAAGATTTACCAAACAATGCTTATAAAATTCAATATGAGTCACACTGAGTCGTTCTGTAAATCTAGTGTTAATAAAACATGATTGAAGAATTAACCGTAGGTTTACAAATACTTATTATACAGTTTATCTATCTATAAATTTTAGAATTCACAGAAATAGACAACGAGGATTTGCATCAATAAAATACAATTGCATCACTGAAAATCAAAGACCTTAATCAAAGCCCATAATATCCAACAAACATCGACTTGTTGTTCCGTAATCCCGAGTAATAAACAGAGATAATAAAGAAACAATAGAGAACTAGAATAAATGGAACTAACGCGAAACAATCGAGTGCCGTTAAATGAAATCTGGTTGGCCAAAAATCCAGTTCCAATGAACGGTATACGGAACGCGCCTACGTATTTCTTGCTGTTCGCACGGAAACAGAAACACTGAACTATTCACCGCCATTTTCACCAGGACATAATTCCTGGCGGAAACAATTGTATTCCCGTTCGGGCAGGATCAAGTGCCATTCGTCGGCGACGAATGGCGGCCGTTGCATCAGAATTGCGTTCCGGTGACGCCGAACGAATTAATTACGGCGGCCCGTCGCGTCCGTCTCGCGGCAGGAAAAAAAACACGGAGTCGCGTTATCTCGTATGAAACTGAATGCCGCGTTACGGAACTTCGGTGTTTCTCTTCCGCGGTTGTTTTATCGTCTCATTGGGGTTAGGGAAGGGAGAGCGCGGGAGTGGGCCGCGCGTCATAAAGTACGGGGACGACATAAAACATATCCCCGTGATAAATTTGCGAGAGTGCGCTGTTTAATGCAAATCGGTCGACACTTGGCATAAAAACTGCCGCGTATTTTGGCCGACAAACGAGCGCCGCCGCGCCTCGTAAGTGGAAAACGATTAAAGGGCGGCATAAAGCTGCCCCGAACATACTGTTATCGGTCCGCAGCCCTTGCGATTCGATGATGCGCCGTCCCTTGCCCGTATTTACGTGGAACGACGATGCTTTTTCGATCGGACTCGAAATCTATGAAACAGGATTTGTTATCCAGTAAACATGTTGAACGATGCAAGTTGTTTTTATTCCCGATCGCATCGGTTGTGCTTTTTCTTTATAGATAAATAAATTGTGAATTCGACGGGGATGGTTTGTATTAATCGTTTATGGGTAGCAAGTTATTGCAATGGAATGAACGATTATTAATTGAGTCGCTTAGGAAGCTCCGGTTAAGTCGATTTCTCGATGTTTCCCGATTTTTGTAAATTTAAGTGAATAATATTCTTTTTGGTCATTCGAGGATTTACACGGTTCTTTGTTTCTTCTCTAGATTAGAAAGCCATTCTGTTCATAGCTTCTGAATATGTAGTATAGTAATTTCAGAAGTCATTACATTACTGAAGGTACTAAATGGATCAAAATTACCCATTCCTGATATCTTCTTTTTGTAATTATTAAAAAGATAAAAATGTGTCCCTGAGAAATTATTAAAGAATTGTAAATCAATTAAAGTCTCAATGGACCTCTCTTGGAGTTTCTACAGAGGAATTTCGAACAGTCAATTGAGCTGCTCGGTAGTTTCAGTGTTAATTTTCTGAATTTTTGTTTTCTGCGCTGAACCGTGTTGGCTTCCGGGCGACTCAGTCGAAACTGAGAACTATGTTCAGTGTTTTATTTTCTTTAATATTTCTGACGGAACCGCGTTCCCGATTTTAACTCGAAATCTCATTTGCCGCGATTCAGTTTAGCCAAACACGCACTCCCCGGATTTTACTCGTTGAATAATCAATAGTACTCCATCGCACGAACATTTCACCGCAGCACGGTAACTGCATTACTCGTGATTAGAACAATTTGCTCATTGTTTACAGCAATTAATACACGCATCCTGGCACGGCGAACGAAGGTGTGCAAGTCAATATTGGCGCGACCGTAGCCACGGCCGTGCTGTTAATAAATATTCCGTGCGTTACCGGTCAATGTTGTTTAATAACCGGCAATTAGCGTGCTGATATTAGCGCGGCCGGTCCAGATTTTATCATAATCTGTTCGTAAATTAATTCATGCGTCTGGAGAGGCTTCCATTTCACGGAGCTCTTCTTCTTCGTTTGTTCGCCCGTTAACCGAACCTCTGACTCTAATTCCGTTGAACGCGTTAGAGCTGGGCGAAATTTAATATCACGAAATTTATGTGTGTTTCAGTTCCAACGTTTAAATACCTGGAATTTAATTGGGGAAGGAGAAATTTAATAAATGATACATCGTCGTGTATCTTAATTTAATAACTGTGCCACTAAGTGACGATGTATCTTCAGAATTCCTTACTAAACAATCGACACGCGATGATGCGATGACGATGATCATTAACATTAATTGTACCGGCACTTTTCCTATAGTAACCAGTCAAATAACTAACTACAAAATAAAAATAAACTAGTTAGATGATATATTATTTTAATGGAAACAGAAGCAAAGGGAAACTTGAGAATTAGAAAACTGATTAATTGGCAATATAGGAATTGATACAGAGTTAACTGAACGGAAGGAAACGCAGAATTTTAAATCCGGTTCTCAGTACGGTTAGTGTTAACACGTTGTCTGCCACGAGAATTTCGAGCGTTTTGTTATCAATAGTAAGATTTATTTCTTTATAATAGAGGAAAATAGTATCAAATATAATTATTAATGTTTTGGTATTACAGTATTTATATTACACTATTATCTAACTTCTCGTGTTACTAAATATTTTGATTCAATATCAATTTTCTTACTGTAATTGTTTTCAAGCAATTCGGAAGCTCCGGGTTTTCATATCGTTATAGTTTTCTACCGTGGGAAATTCTACAGAGATATAAAAATGAATCATAATGTATTTAACTATTGTATATCTATTTAAGAAAATGATGAAATATCAGTCTCGCGTGAAAATGAATTGTATCATTACCGTAACCGAAAAGAATCAAATCAATCGTGCCATTTTACATCCACATCGGTCAGTGTTCGTTAACGTTGACGGAATGATTACGATTGTTCTGGTTTCGTCAGCAACTCGGATAAATTGCGCGATATTTTGTCGAGCGTTAATCGGTTGTCCGGCGCCGATCGTACGCATAATGAGGGCGCGTGCCTTTATCAGGCGAGTTTACTATATTTTATTCGTGTTGGTAGAATGTTCATTTATTAACGGACAGGGCATAATTAAAGGCAGCGTTCCGTATCAACGTTCCCAGTGATTGAAGCGTGGCCATGGAAGTAATTAGCTATATCGGTGATTTCGTGTAATTGCATTCACAGGTCAAAATCGATAGTAGTTGGCCAAATCCGAGATACTGGTGTCTGCAGAATGCGCAACTCGTCGCATTGTAGTCACGACTATTACCATCGCAGAGCGATCCAAACACAGCGGAAACTGATAAAATTGATTTTCATGAAATATACGTGGTCAAAGAAGAAGCACAAAAATCCTTAAACAAACTATTAAATCACGTTCCCTTCGTTTCTTCTTAGATCAGAGAGTTTTTCATTTTATGCCATACAAATATGCGAAACAAAGTTACGATTCAGCGACGAGAGATTAAAAGCATCAAACACAGTCACACGCTTCCAGAAAGATTCGAATAAAAGGATTCTGGTTTCCAGAAACTTAACATACCAGAAAATGTAGTCAGTACAATCTGGAAGTTTCACGACATTTAAAATTGGCAAGCTTCCATCCGACTTCAGAAGTTCAGGACGTTAAAGCGCAACACCGTGAACCGTAGATGGAAGCGTGAACGCCGGAAACTTGATTTAACAATGTTCATTGGAAACAAAAATATTTTCCTTTACTACAGAAATCTCGTTCCGCCATAAAGAACGGAGAAAGATATTTTCCGAAAGAGCTCGTTCTTGGTTTACCGTTTCACTCTGTTTCCATTTGTTTTCCATTTCTGTGACCGCGATTAAAGAGTCGCGAGGTATTTCACGCAATGGAACAAAAGGCGGAATTACATTTCGAATTGTATTTTTCGCGGTTGTTCACCGTCGTTTATTATGACCGTGGAAAACCGCGATTTTTCACTCCGGATTTGCAAAACGCTTCTGTATCACCCTATAAATTTGTCGCGTAAACGCACGTGTAAACAAGCTTTCAAATTCCCGAACAATGCCGCGCGGGTGGGGATAAAACCCGTTTCGAAATTTATCCAAAGGACCGGCGGAATTTATAAATTTACACTGATATTATTCTTTCACGCGGCCGAACCGGGAATGGATTGCTTCAATGAAGCGATTTCCATTTCCTTTTTACCCGGCGGCGGAATGTATTTTTCGACGGCCCGCTCATAATTCAACATCGCGGAACTCCGCGAATGCGAATCAACTTATCCGAGGAAAATATTGACCTTCGAGCGAATGCTTCCGCAGTATTTCCATAAACATATAGCCCGAAACAAAAAGCGTCGAATGCATCGATCGTATCGCATCTTCCCTTATATAAGTAAAAAATTCTTAAAAATCGTATGAAAAATACATTCGGCGACGAATGAATCAACAGTAACGAAAAATAATTCAACGAGTTTTTCGATAATCTGCGAAATATTGAAGGTTGATGAATAATTAATAGTAATCGTTCGTTAGAAAGTATACAGATTGTACCTTACATATGAGAGAAATAGGTTATGTGAACGAGTCGCAAGTTCGGGAAGCGGCGTTAAATGAAAATGAAGTTCCCGGCGAAACCCGATAAGGAGAGTGGGTTCCTTAGATTAAGTGGATTGGAAGGTAAAAGTTTTCCGAAAGACGCGTAACGTCATAACAACGCCGGCTACCTCGGCTCCCCTCGAACTTTCCCGAAAGTCGAGCAGGGACGTCGGTTCGTTCGCCATTCCTGCGGAGTTCATTATCATCCAATCAGCATTACAAAATTTCTCCATGGAATAACGGAACGCCTCTTACTACCTTATTGTCATTCGCGCAACGAAAATATTGGACTTCTTTGGTGAAAAAGATCGTTAAGAAAAGAAGATATCTTTTCGCGATTTATTTGCACAATCGCGTTCGTTGTATCTTCGACGAAAGAACTTTCTCAAAGTTCGATTACGTTTCTCCAGGTTACCGTAAAAGAATCACGATACCTATGGTATTTCCACGAACAAAAAGCGAATTCAACGGTACGTCGAATGTTAGCTTAGAAAGTGCAAACGTGTGGTGTTAACAGAGAAGCAAGCATGAGAAACAAAAAGCGTATAAGAGTATTTCGCGCAGGGAAAGTTACATACACACGACTCGGCTGGCGAGTACAAGGGGAAATAAGTTTCCTTCCAGTTTTCTTGTTAACAATACACAGCTTGTTCTAACGTGTTAATGAAAACGATCAATTGAACCGACATGGACACACCGAGTCATTGGGTCAGAATCGAACATCGAGGAACAAATCAGGCAAATGCGAACAGAAAGGAAAATAAAATGCAGAGAAAAGATCACGAACAGTCCAACAGAAACACTGAAAGCTGTATAAATCTGTAATTACCCCAACGTGTGGCTTCCCGTCCAAGGATTTCTTTAAACAAGAAAACAAAACAAAGAGTCATTGGGTTAATCAACTGTGCTAAGTGCTTGGTTCTTGTTCTCGTTAGAGCGTTTCACCGCGGCTGAGCGTAAAGGAAAAGTCGGCCGCGTCGTAGTATGTATGCCTGCATTGCGGGAAACAACGGAGTCTTGGCACGGAAACAATTTCGACCGGCGACGCAAATAAGATGATGGCCTTTTCGTACTCTTTCGGGAGTAATAGAGGCTCGAATCGCTTCAAGTATTTCATTCGCAAAGAGCTCGACTAAATTTTTCCTATCTGCAAACCTGCTAAAATAGGTTTCTGAACTTTTTGATCCTTTAATGGACACGAACTCTCTCGGATATAGAAATCTGTTCCAATTTTAAAGAATACTAATTTTCAAAATGGCGGAGAAGAATTAAAAACTACATTGGTTACTGATTTTCAATATTAACCCTTTGCAGTGTATAGATTTCGCTACCGAACTATTTATAGTGTTAAATATCTTAAACGAAGTTGAAGAAACTACTCTAAGATTGTTGCGTTCGCCATATATGCAAACTTCGTTTTAAAAGGGGAAATGAGTAATTTAAGAAATCTTATAACATTTTCTAATATTTTTTCACTAGGGATATTATCAAAATAATCGTAGTTAATGGTAGACTACAAAATCGACTGCTAAGGGTTAACAATAGAAATTCTCGTCAATGTGATTTCCTAAACAAATCTCTATTCCAACACATTCGATACGAATTACGTCTCTCGTGTGAATGCATTAGGTACATCTTCACTATCTCATTCTGGCCAATATTTTCATTGTTCTTAGAATATCTTTATTCGCAACATGTGAACAAATAATTGTAGCGATTCGAGTTATTGAACGCTAGGTTTACCGGACAAATCATTTTGACCTATCTCGAACTGCTCACTTTTATCCATACATCTCATAGTTTCATTTATAAAATCATCGTGTATAATATCATTTTTGAAGTTGTTTTTTCAAGAACATGTGACATTGTTGGGTGAAATTGAGATAGGTATAAAAAAATGTCGGTAAACCTAACGTTAATTATATACACTAAACCAGTGTTTTCCAATGTCAGACCGTCGCCCCACAGGCAATTGAAATTTGAAATATCACTTCATATATTTCACAAAATAGCAAAAATATTATGATAAATATTATACAAATATTATAATATAATATTAAAAATTGTGTATATGCTACATAGGGGAGCATAAGAATTTTAGAAAGACTTAGATGGGGCACGGCACAAGAAAGATTGGGAAACACTGCATTAAACGATTCCAAGAATCTTGTAACTATGAAAACGGGCAGGTTTGAACGGAGAAATCGACTCACCTGGTTGACGCTCTTGTTCTTGATTTTGTCGAGGGGCAGGCGTTCCTTGACGTAATGGAGGTTCAAGATCTCCTTGACGCGTTCCTTGTCCTGCAGGATCTTCTGCACGCCGGGCTCCTCGAGGGCAGCGTTGCTCGGTGCGAACAGGGTGACGTTGCGCAGCTGACTTATGCTGCCCATGATTTCATCGCCGAAATCTCGGATCGTCTGGTAAAACTTGTACACCGGCCCGTCCTCCTTTTCCTGAATGTACAGAAGAGATTTCTATTTATCGTGCTCGGGGCACCGGCCGACGGATTCTACGGGGGACCGTTAACAAAGAAAATGAAAGAAAGAAATGGAAATGATCGTAGAAACGAAAGAGGAGCGAAAGAGGGCGGATAACCTCGTGCCACGAAATTTGCGAAGCGGCTCTAAGGAATTCCGCGGCCAGACACGCGAGCGCGTAAACCGATTATACGTGTACGCGCGACAAACAAGCTTGTCGCCTGAGTCTTCGCATATTTCGCTTGCGCGCAAAGATGACAAAACAAAATGCTTATAAGGACTTAGAGGATGGGTTATCGAAACGTAAAAGCTTCAAGCTGTTTTGAAACGTTTA